CTTCCTTCCTTCCTTCCTTCCTTCCTTCCTTCCTTCCTTCCTTTCTCTCTCTCTCTCTCTTTCTTTCTTCCTTTCTTTTCAGTAATGCACTTCCTTTGGAAAATATCCATATAGCAAAACGTCATTTGCCCTCCGGATTCAGTTAAGTATCTCCTTTTCTATGAAACTTTCCCTGTTATTGTCCCCTTGCATCCTGAAGTAGACTTTCCTCCAGGATGCCCTAGAACTTGGACATCCTGTCCAGCACTGATAGCACAATTCTTACAGAAGAGCACTGCAGCCACCTTCCCCACTTCTCAGCAGTGCTCCAAAGCACACTACTTGAACATGCAGTTTATTAATCTTTGAGTACCTAAAACCTAGGGTGGTGTCTGGTAATAGAGTGGTTTAATACAGTGGCTTAATATAGTGCTTCAAATACCTTTCGTGGACCACATGTTTTTCAGAATCCTAATCCATACCCCAACTCAAAGGAGAGCTGCTATGGTGGACTCTTGGGTAGAAACTCTACAATTACTCACTGTGGGTAATTGCTGAGCCAGTTCCATGCACCTAGAATTCATAGTTTGAAAAACACTGGGTGGTGTAATGAATGACGATATAGTGGTGAATGAATGAATGGGCACAAAAGTTAAATTCTAAAATAATTTCTACTACACTAATACTACCATCCTTTAACTTGTATCAGATGTCCTTTGCCTTCTGCCAATTTACAAACTAAATATCTCAGGTCATATCCCACTTCTGTGGATCCTTAATGATCCAATCTCTTCCTCCCCTAAGCTATGACATATGTTATCTATTATTTTGGTTTTTACACCCTATTATATATTATTAGCTTAAAGTCTTATCATTAAATGTGAATAGAGGCAAAATCATATTTATAAGATATATGGAGTCACGTCTCTGTGTGGCCCAACAAACATTCACCAGACATTTACTTTTTTATCTTTCTGTGAATTTCACACTTTCCCTTTGAAGTCCCAAGACCCCTACCCCGCCCTTCTCCTTAGTTCAGAATGACATATATACCATATTTTTGCCTGTCTTTGGAATTTCATGTCTGTGTAGATTCCTCATACATATGAATTTAAATTTGATTTTCTTCTGTTACTCTGCCTCGTGTAAATTTAATTCTTAGTCCAGCTAGAAGGATCTTGGACAGAAGAAAATTTCATCCTCCCTAACGTTATAAAGAATCACAAGACAATAAAGATCTGTGTCTAAGAAAAGTAATGTTACTTTTAAAGTCTCCATTTCTGCTTTGATTCTAGTGACTCCCTTCTCAATGGTTAATTATAATCTCTAACTTTGCTTTTTTCTTTCCCTTGATTTTATGATTTTATCAAGTATGTTGGTATCCTTAAACAACTGTTCCATCTTACCTGCTCTTGAACTTTATAAATATGGAATTATACTAGTCTTTTGTGACTTGCTTTGTTTGCTGAAAATTATGTTCCTGTGATCCATCATGTTGCAGCTGTAATTCATCATTTTCACTACTGCATGGGGTTACCTTGTATGAACATACCAGGTTATATTTATTTATATTATATTGAATTTAGTTTTCTAAATTTCTGCTAATCTGCTAGGTTTGCAAGAATGTGTCATTTTAGTTTTAATTTGCATATTTCTGCTCACTAATGACACTGACAATCTTTCTACCTATTAAATGGATATGTGATATTCCTTTTCTTAGAAGTACCTAATCAAGTCTTTTGGTAATGTTTCTACTAGGATACTAAAAGAAAGTTTTTTACTTTTTGATTTGTGAGGATTTAAAAAATATTTTTGGATATTATTTCTTTGCCAATGACATGTATTAAAAATATCTTCTCCCAGTTGGAAGCTTGAAATTTTACTCATCTCAGTATTTCTGTTGAACAGAAGTTCTTAACGTTAATGAAGTTAAATATTTTCTTTTCTGATTTGTGCTTTTTCTGTCATATTTGAGAAATATTTCCTTCTCTCCAAAGTCATAGATATGTATGCCTATCTTCTTTTAAAACTGTGTATGTCCCATGTAGGCTTTCTAGTCACCTGAAATTGGTCTTTGTGTATGTGGTCAGGGAGGGGTCAAATTCTATTTCACTTTTTTTAACCACGTGTATGAATCCATTGTGCAGTATATCTTTTTAAAATTTATTTCTATTATTGTCATTACTTCTAATTTTTCTTTATCTCCACAAGACAGTCTATATTGTTATTATTTTTATTTTTTAGTATAATTGCAATTGATTTTAATGTGGAAATATCAACCTTCACCATTTGCTTTACTATCATTTGTTCTTGTATCTCAGATACTTTACCTGGGATCATTTTTATTTTGTTTCAATTATATCTTTTTAAAATTTTCTTTAGTAAGTGTGTCTGCTGGAGTCAAATTTTATTTTTTTTAAAAAGACTTTATTTATTTGAGAGAGTGAGAGAGAGAGGAGCGGGGGGGGCGGGGAGAAGCAGGCTCCCCTCTGAGGAGGGAGCCCCACACAGGGCTTGATCTCAGGACCTTGGCAAGGAGCCCGATATGGGACTCCATCCCTGGACCCTGGGATCACAACCAGAGCCAAAGGCAGACGCTTAACCGACTGAGCCACCCAGGCACCCTTGTTCGAGTCAAACCTTAGTTTCTGAATGCCTGAGAACACACTTACTTTGTTCTCCTAAAAAATATTTCTGCTATATTGAAATTTGACAGTTAAATCTCTCTCAGCATATCGAAGATTCTGTCTGCCATCTTGATTTTTTGTTACTATTGAGAAGTCAGTTGCTGGTCTGCCATCTATTTGAAGGTTATCTATATTACAAGCTTGACTATTTTTATGATTGTGTCTTCAACTTGGGTGTTCTGCTGTTTCACTATAATAATTCTAGATGAGGCTTTATTTTTATTTGTACTCCTTGAAATTCATTTGGCTACCTAAATATATAGCTTGGAATTTATTTTATTTTTTAACTTTTTTTTTTTAAAGATCTTATTTTTAGGTAATCTGTACGTGGACCCAACATGGGGCTGGAACTCACGACCCCGAAATAAAGTGTTGCATGTTCCACTGACTGAGCCCTCCAGGCACTCTTATAGCATGGAATTTTTATTTAGCTTTGGAAAATTCTTAACCTCCTCTTAAAATATTACCTCTGCCTCATTCTCCCTTGCGTTTCCTTATGGAACTTTGATTAAACACATATAAACATTTTCTATTAATCTCTATTTTTTGGCTTTCTCTTTCTCTCCCTCTCTCTCTCCCTCCTCCTTCTCTCTCACTCTCCCTTTGCTTCTCTTTATTTCTGCTGCCTTTGAATGGTTTCTTCAGATATACCTGGCAATTTACTAATTCTTTCAGCTGTGTCTCATCTTCTATTAAAACCACTTAGCACCAAAGTTTGAAATAGGCAATTACTTTTGTTTTACAATTCTTTGGGGAGGCAAGCTTATTTCTTGTTACAGGCACTCTAAGTACATAGCCTTTAGGTCCCAGGTCTATTCTAGGAGGTATTCTCATGTTAGACTCTCCTCTTGGTTGACTCTAGGCTACAAAACCCAAGGCTCTAGTTCACATAGTTCATCAAGGTGAAAACTGCTTTTAGGGGGTCAGTTTTCTTCTCTGGGTTCCCAACCCACTTATTTTTTGACTTCCGAGTACTTCTTACTATGATACCAGTTTGTTGATGCATCTGTTAAAAGTGATTTAAAAATATGTTAAGAAATAGTTAGGCTTTCAGTGAGGGGGTCAAATAGGATATTTAATGCCTAGGACAGCCAGAAACAGAAGTTGGGCACTAAACATTTCATGAACACAATGATCTCTTTAGTGTCTCAGGATATCCTATGATGCCTGTCTGAAAGATCTTTATGTAATTAGTACTCTGTAAGTACTTGTCAGTTTTAATAACAGAACTTGTATGCACGGAAACATATGATTTAAATTAACGAACCTGATATGCGGTTTTGGATTCCCTTTAACTTCACAGTTGAGCTTCACCTTTTTCTCCTCAGAATTCAAAGGGAACATCACATGACTTGGTTCTTGAATAAAAACAGGGCCATGCAGTGTGTAGTCATCTGAAATGAGGGGAGATAATGCCCAAAAATGAAGAACATCTTCCAAATACGAACAATAACAGGAAACAACTAACAAAATGAAAATAAGAGTGGTAAAATAACAACAAAAAAAAATAACAACAGATTTAGTTTCAGCCTTTAGGTGAAATTTCCCACTGAAGACTAATCCTTCATAGATTATAATGAAGTGGAGACACAGACTCTCCTATTTCATATTGACAACTTATTTTTATTAACAATTTCCAGAATGCCTGACATTCCCTTTCCTTTCCTCTTACTTATTGTTCCATCTGCCTTTTGCTCACCCTTTTACTTTGTTTACATTTTGTGCCTTCTACAGCTCTTGTGCTGCTGTCGTCCTGGGAGACCATCTAATGTCACAAAGTTAAAAATTTCTCTGCTCTGTAATGGGATAATATAATTGGAAACAAGCAATGATGATTTCATAAATACATTAATAATGGGAAACATCTCTGTACTGCTAAAATATGTATAAAAGTTTCTTAAATTGTCTATGTAAGTAAAGAACAACCTAGAGTCATGATTCTCAAATTACCTGGTAAATGACCAGCTTGTTTTTTTTCCCAGCCTATTAGGGATCCATATGAGGGTATGTTCGTGTAAATAGCATACAGCTGGAACCATGTGACTCAGCACACAAATTCAATAACACCCAAACTAGTCTATAGCTAGTTCAATGATACTTGAGTATACAATGATGTATGAGTTTCTAAATGCTTTCTCTCAATTAACAGTGACTAGATGTATGAAACTTACTTTATCACAAAACAGCAATAAAGTTTAAAGACTGGAATAATCCACAAACCAAACTTGAAGTAGCAGTATAAAGTACATGTTTCTAGAGTATACAACATAATAAAGATTAGTCAAAATGCATCTCACCACCTATGCCCATGAAAGTGATTTTCATTCTTCAAAATCCAGTTCAAGTTCTTTTTCTTTTTTTATCTTAGAAAGCTTTTCTCAACCTTTATCTTCGTTGTTTAGCCACATGATTCTTCAATTATATTTCCCTCTAGCCACTTAACTTTTTCTATCAAGTGTATCTGTACCTTGCTTTTTCCTGCTTTGGACAGTAAGCTCCTTGAGAGCATGATGTATCGTACACATTTTGGTATGTTCTGATACCAATACCAAGTACAGTAGCTTATACATAGAAGATCATTATAAGGATTTGTTCTATTTGTGTGTAATTTTTAATGTATTCAATCAGCTGACGTAGGCATTGCCTGATGAATTTCCAGAGAGAAGGGCCAGTGGCTTTGATATAAAATAATACTGAATATCACCCTGGAGCTGACAATCCACTCCCTGCTTAGGTGTGATTATTTTGAAGAGTGTGAATTGCAACTGCTATCCTGGAAAACCCTTATAACCAGCCTTTGTTGATAGGTGATAAGATGAGAGTAAATTCATGCAGATGTATCAGGACTGAGGAAAAAGAATAAAGCTAGTTTGGGAATCTTGGTGAAGGACAGGAAGTAAGGTAATTTCTTTTGAGGCTTATAACCCAGGCTTAAAAACATCCATATGTTGAGGCTGGGATAGAAGAAAATGTAAGGAGACAAGATGACAAAACAGAATTCTATTTTATTATAGAGGAGTAAGGACAGCCAATGACCTCATGGTAAGAAAAACAGGATGTGTTGGGGCGCCTGGGTGGCTCAGTTGGTTAAGCGTCTGCCTTCGGCTCAGGCCATGATCCCAGGGTCCTGGAATCGAGTCCCACATCGGGCTCCCTGCTCCGTGGGGAGCCTGCTTCTCCCTCTGCCTGCCGCTCCCCCTGCTTGTGTTCCTGCTCTCACTATGTCTCTCTCTGTCAAATAAATAAATAAAAAATTTAAAAAAAAAAAAAAAAGAAAAACAGGATGTGAATTCAGAAAAACCATGAACTGAGATTCAATGCCTTGGGTCAACTACTAAATCCATGACCTAGCTCTCCATCACTTAGTCTCTCTAGCCCTCAATTTTGTCATCTCTAAAATAATAGGATTGGACTAGGTCAGTGGTTCTATACTGGTTAAGAATGGGAAAGAATCCCTGAATATTTGCCCATGAACTTACATGCACATACATGTGAAATTTGCATTCAAAGATGACACGAATTATATTACCAACACCATCCTCTCTCCTTACTCGATGTATAAAATCTCACATTAATGAGACTTAAACAAAGAAAACAGGATCTGCCAAAGAACTCAAAAGCATAGAATGAAAGTACATAAACATCTATTTTTTTTTTAACACTCATAGTTTAAAGCCAGATACTTCAAAATCCGGATATTTACATTTCAGATTTTCAACAATTATATAGATAGTTTCAAAACAAATTTAAACAGTGGTCAAGGATTAGCTCAATTCAAATGTGAAGAATTATGTGAATTTTTGGCATATCTATTTAAGTAACAAATGTTACTTATCAAGATCACTAACATAGCAGCACACTTGGTGGATTTTTCTCTAAGAGAGAAATATTTCTATTGTTGTCCCAATTCCACAATTATGTGTGTATATATATATATATAATATCAATCATCTCAATTCATTGGTGTTCCCTGATTTGAATTTCATACAGAAATACACAGTCTATTACTAGTAATTCCAAATAAGAATAAAACATAATAATGATTATCCAGGATGCAGCTGAGAGGCTGTGGATTAACATCTGTACTATTTCTCAATGTATCCATGCCATATTTAAATAACAAAAATGGTATTTTTTTCTGTGTATTTTGTAACAAGAATTGATAATAACGATGCTTCGCATTCACTATAAATAACACATTTCATCCAAAGTTTTTATTTTCTCTTGGTTAACCAAGCTTGCTGCCTATAAATTAACATTAGCATAAAGGGAATGGTATTTCAGTTTTCATCTAAGGAAATCCACAGCCTTTCAAATATGAGCTGTTTGGTTTCAAAAAGATGGAGGGAGAGATTTTAGAAAGTTTAGCAATGCAGGTGTAGAAAACAGATAACCTAACTTTAAAAACTTTAGCCTAGAGTTACTACACTAACATTTTTGACAAAAAAAAAAAAAAAAAGAGTTAAAGGGTTGCTTTGTTTCTCTCAAACCTTGAGGAAGCTGGGTGAAACAGAGTCCTCAGAATGAATTCTTAGATGAAACATGGAGGGAGGCATCAAGTAAGTTTGTTCTATTTTTGCGTAGTCGTGACAAAGTGACTTTCAAGTGTCTTGAAGGCTTGAAGGTACATATAAAACACTTTGCATTTGCCATTTGTAAAGCCTAGAAGATAAAGTTCACCCTTTTCTCTGTCATGGTAACTTGTTCTATGTAATCAGAGGGGTAGCCATGATTTTCAGCCTACAGAAGTAAAGGAGCATCTCAGAAAATGACAAAGGACAAGGTTTTAATAAGCCAGTATGTTTCAAAGTTAGACCGTTGACCACCTGCATTGTAATCATATCATGCAAGGATTGAGCAAGTACAGAGCTTGTTTTTCTAAATCCCAGTCCAGACTGACTGCACCAGAAAAATCCAGGGTCCATGAATTTGTCTTTAACCTAATTGAATCTGGGTGATTCTTTTGCACACTAAAATTTTAAAACTACTAACACAGATCCTTTTGTTCCTAGCTCTCCATTTCCTAAGAGCAGAACATCAACCAACACCGGCTTTAGACACATTCCTAAACTTTCTCTGTTGGGCAAAGTCAAACCAATTTATCTTTGCTTGATAACATTTAGAGAAGGACTTTTTAGCACATGTTTGGACTAACAGCTGAGAGGCAAGCAGATAGGAACAGAAAACGATAAAACTAACTCACACAAAGAAAATGGATGAATTTGGGTGGGAGGATGGGTTAGCCTGGTGATGGGTATTAAAGAGGGCACGTTCTGCATGGAGCATTGGGTGTTACACGCAAATAATGAATCATGGAACACTACATCAAAAACTAATGATGTAATGTTTGGTGATTAACATAATAATAAAAAAAGAAAAACAAAGAAAATGGATGGATTTGTCAAGGTACAGGACTTACGCTGAAACCAAGCCAATATTTCCTTAGAATACTCACAGTTGAATGCCAGCAGCTAAATGTGAGAACCCCCCAAGGGTTCTATGTGACAAAGAAGAGGCACTGATGTGACAAAGCAAAGGCATCCCCAGGGTGACAAAATAATCCACTGACCTATAGCGATAACTTACCCTCACTTGATATACATTACATTCTTGCTGTAACCACTACCCTTTGTTTATAAGAAATGAACCTCATTTAAGTGACAGGATGTTCGGATTGATGTTTTAACTTGTGGATTCCCAAAAGGGTGAAAAATCATCCCAATGACTCACTTAGCTTGGAGAAGTTAGGGCAATGGACTCACATTATTATCAGGGATCTCTCAGGGGAGCAGCAAGCAATTATTTTTCATCCTCCTGGAAATTCTTGAAAATCATGGTTAAGAGAAAAAGAGAGGAGCCAGGTTGCCAATAGCCCAGATACAGTGTTTCAAATTCCAGATCATTGATCCTAGCCCCAGCCTAGGGGATTTAGTGCAGAAGCTAATACTGGTACATCATGATTTCCTGGGTTCCCCTCTGCTTGGAAACTATCTGCCAGTTGGTCACTAGCCTACTTCTACAATACTACCTGCATTCCCTCAAGTTCCATATCACAGAAATTCTCATGGACTAGTTTCTGAGTAAACCACATATTTGTAAAAAGAAGAGAGAAAACCTAAACTTAGGAAAGCTCCCTCTCATGTTTCAACAAAGCCTGGGAAACCTTTGGGTTTTCAGAAAAGAGTAGAAATTTCATGACCAGAAATTTATTTAGGTTAAAGGTCAGACTACCCTTAAACTTTCTCCCCCTTTGTTCATCAAATACTTAAAGTTATTGGAAAACACTGTTCTTAACAAATGATTCTCAAACTCCTTTCCCCATTTGATTCTTTTCTTTTTAAAATCTATTTTTGGGGGGAGATGAAAATCAATGTTTGTCAGCCAATTTCTTCTT